CAGCCGAATATGTCAGAGGAGACATTTAAGGCTATAGTCCACTTAGAAAGTGTTATAGACAAACTTTCTTACACATCTCTAAAGCAAACAACAACTGAATCTATTTTAAATGAAAGTGTAAAAAGTGTTTTTAGAATAAATATGGAATATTAAATCGATAACATGCAATTTTCGATAATTCGAATTTTTTCTCCTCTCCCTTCAAGTTTGACTATATATATATAGTTTAAAATCTCGTGTGATTTAGCTCTTTTAACTACTCAATTATATTCTAGTTTGGCGCTGTATGCGTCTCCAATTCTAGTTCCTGAACCATTATACGTTGCTTTCAACAAATCACTTTTAAAAATATTTTTTCTCCAATCAGTTTCAGATAACATTTCTTTTCTCATTATCATTCTACATGAGAAATAACAGCTGTTTATTGTCAGTTAGTCATTAGTTGAAAAAAACAAACAAAGATTTAATAAAATCAGAAAACAGTTTTATTTCGCAAAGCATCATTGTTTCAGCTCTTTTCCAAAGGTTTTTTTTAAAAACCATTTGAAATCGTAGAAATGATACAGACTAAACGAAAAATATTTCTACTATGCATTTTGCACACGTTCAACAATTGCATTTCTTCAAGTAAGACAGTGTTACTCATTTAATTTTTTTAAAAGCATATTTAAATCTATTTTTTATCTTACTTTCCTTCTGGCTCTTGTGTCAATCAATTTTAAGTTTATTAATAAATAATTTACTATTTGCATCAACAAACCATACTACTGGACAAAAAAAAAGCATTAAATAATTATTTTATAGTACCTCTACCTTGTAATTGCTTTATGTTGACTCCTCTCTTCTATACTTGTACCCAAAATACTTCAGATACTTAATGTTTGAATGTTATTTACGTTCCAGGCATACCAGGAGATGGAGCTATGCACAATCCTGATCTTTTTGAAGGAGACATTTTAGGTTTTGATCCCTATGTGAGTTCCAACTTGTATTTTAATTCGTACTGTAATGACTGACTCCTCACTGTTTCCCAGTTAAAATATAACTATGATAATCGTGATATCGCACAAAAGGGCGAGTGCATAATGCATGTAATTTAAGCAAATCACTAAAAAAACGGTGTAACAAATATTTTATTTGAAACCTTAAGTAAAATTTGACAACCTCAACATCAAGCGGGGGCCGCGGAAAGCCGCAAACCCGCTTCGCGGGTCGGCTGGCCACCTGCGGTGAATAAACCTAAACATCAAGGGCCGGATAAGCCTGGTATGTAGGGCACTGGACCCATGTCCAAGAGTTCGTGGGTTTGATCCCCACCGGCCGAAGACTCCCCAAGTAGTATGTAGTACTCGCCGAGTAAATTTTGACTGATGCACGTTAAATCTGTTGAGTCGTAAAGTCCTCCATGTTCCCATAACAAATTAATACCTCTGGGGGTACTGATCCAGGAGTTTTCTTGTCATTCTGGATTGAGTTCAAGATTAAAAGGCTACGGAGTTGAACATTAGTAGTCGTAAACCAAAAATTGGGTCGGCTGTTCAACGACGGATATTAAAAATAATACCTCAACATCGCAGGCCGGGATAGCTTGGCCTTAACTTAACGAACTTAAAGGACTTTTAGCATTTAATGACTTATCCTTTATAACACAATTTAGCATTTAATGACTTATCCTTTATAATACAATTTAACTCATTAGCAAAGATATTTTTTTTGCACATAAGATGCAATAAATTTAAAGGCAACATTTTCTTTTTTAAGAGATAAAGGAATGCTCAACTTTGTATTATCTGATACAGGAACCGATTTTTCTTTTTCAGGCCTTTTTTTACAATTATGAATAAATTGTAGAAATAAGCCCTTTCATGCAATAAGATATAATACGAACAATTTTACACAGAAACTGTTCGAAATAAATATTCAATTATATCATTACTATTACTGACTGGAGAAGAAAACAGTTACTTAAAATCGTTCTTTAGAAAGAACAGTAGAATTACCATTAGATTTAACTTTGTCCAATGGCCAATTTTTTTTGGTTTTCCTTGAGCCATGTAGGTCAAACGCACCATACCTCATAATTAGATGAGAATATAGAATTTATTTCCCTAGATTCAATATCTGCTGGATTATCTGCAGATTTAACATAATGCCATTTGTCATAAGATATGAAATCCAATATTTCACTAGTGCGATTACCTAGAAAAGTTTTCCACCGATGTTAGTTACTTTTTGCATGGAATTATTTTTGGATAAACAAATTTTATAATTGTGTGAAATCTCTTTTTTTTTTTTAATTCGTTTAAAAATTTCTCGAGATATAGTGAAATACACAAGTAAAATGAACATTGAGGGGTCCAAACATTCAAGCGCTCTCTTGACCAAACTATTGGGACGATATTTCCCAGATTGCGACAACCCTGCATATTTTGGGAGTCAGAAATTCGAATCCGTTGGGGAAAAAATATATGTCTATTCAGAGAAAGTACGCTTTTGTTTAATTTCGTATCTTAAAATACCACCTGCATTTACTCATTAGCATATTTGACCTCACCCCCTCCCTTGAGCCATTATGAGTGAGTACCAGAACGTGAAAATCCGATCATTAGATCAAAAGTTATTAAGAGTAATACGGGTTTTTTTTAAAATTTATTTGTGCACTGTACATATTTTGTTCTCTAAATACTCTAAGGGCGGAACAAAATCTGGAGAAGAATTAATATTTAATTTTATTCACCGTTGAATGTACATGTTTCGAGAAAAACCATTATCTATTTTACGTATTTTAAATAAGAACACAAATTTATAGTGTAGCAAAATTTAACCTTTATTTTCAAATCGTTTGTTTGGTGCATGATATCCTTCTTCGAACCTTGCACTACTAAACTCCATGCTCAATTTAGTTCGATAAGTTCCATATTATCCGTTCAATGTATTTTAGCGAGATAAAGTTAATAGTGTGTTCTTCTACCTTTTGATTTTTTTAAACATTCGTTTGTTACGGGCAGCGGAACTCTAATCCCGTTCGTATAACAAAATATCAATATTTTTTTTAGTTTGTTAGATAAATATTTCTAAAAACTTTTATATTCATATTTACCGCACCTTTTTAAATTTTCTTTTAACCGTCGTTGAACAGCCGACCCAATTTTTGTGTTTACGACTGCTAATGTTCAACTCCGCAGCCTTGTAATTTTGAACCCAATCCAGAGAAGACAAGAGAACTCCTGGATCAAGTATTGGAAGAAATTTTGCCTTCGTGGAGGATTTTTTTTAAGGAACTAACGCGCATTTGCGTTACATGGAGAGGAAGACCACGAAAACCTCCCACGGTTAGCCTGACGGCAAGGGAACGGGACGCTAACCCATGATCCGTCGACCACTGAGGATATCTCACGTCAGCACTGTGGTCGGTGCAAGCCGGATGCGGAATCCGTATCGACGAGCCGTCTCTGGAAGGCGAACGCTCTATCCCCTGAGCCATCGTGTCTCACCGTTTTACACTACAAAAAAAGGATGGAAGCATTAAAAAATTATGCGATTTTTTTCTACGCTATCGCTTGCCAGTTTCGTTGGATTTCCTATCGCCGACCCATGGTACTAACATAGGCTTTCTCCTGTTCTATTAGCGAATTAGGGATTTTAACAAACATAAGATTTGCCATGTGCAGAATATGGTAGTTTCCAAACATGACTGAAAAATAACATTTCAGGCACTCTGAAACATGAAAAAAATTATTCTTGTTACATTTCCTTGTACAGTAAACCTAAATTTCCTTTCAGGATAAAAATGCAGTTGTGGAAAAACACAGGATTTGGCCGAATGGAAAGATTCCTTACATTATAGATTTCGCTTTGAGTAAGAATGATTTTTAATTCTTCATTTCTGCTAACGCAAAACAGTAACATAATCTTGATGGTAACCATCAATAATTCCATCATGAACGATTATATTTCTGATGGTAACCAACATAATTAACCATCACCCCAATGTAGGAATTCGGACTGATTTATGATGGTCCATCATAAGAATAGCAACTTGTTTTGATGTTTGTTCATGTTAAATCATCGGAGGTTTCTATCAAAGTTTCTTAGAAATCAAATATTGGAACGATCATGAGCAACCGCCATCCCAATATAAGAATTCGAATTGATTTATGATGGGCCAACATAAGAATGCACTGTAAAAAATTTCGAGCTATGTTGCGCCAAATATGGCATTCATTTGCTGGCTACATAAATTGGCGTTTCGTTTTTCTATATATCGGTGCTTTCACTAGCTCCAAACAACGAGAGAAGGTTGCACCAAAAATGGGTATTTTGAAAGAACCTAACAGCAGCGGAAGGTTGCACTAAAAATCAGTGTTTTGAAGGGAACTAAAAGCGGAGGAAGGTTGCACCATTATTAAGTATTTTTAAAGCTCCAAAAAGGAGAGAAAGTTGGCATCATTATTAAATATTTATAAAGCACTCAAAAGCCGGAGGAGATTGCACGATGAATTGATATTTTATTAATCCCAAATTAGGAGGTTCTGTGTCATAAGTGGGTTATTTAATTAAACCAAATATGTATCAGTTACATAATAGTGTAACTCTTCCTTATTATTTGGCATGACATTTATCTAAATCAAATTTTAAAAAAAATTTTCAAATCAAATTTTTTTTCCATCTTTTTTTTTTAAAAAAAAATTACGCCCGCCATCGTCTTCTCAGACATAAGGCGTCTTGCAGTCCAATACAACACTGAAGTAGCTCCAGAAGGTGAGAGGGCTCGAAAGTCATCACAGAATAAATGGGCAAGTAGTCATGTCCGGTAATTATTCTAAGGCAAGCAACTTTCTCGGCCCTGGGAAGGAGGGAAAGGTGAGAGTGCTGCTGGTCATCAAGAAGGCTGGCCCAGGATTTTCCTTCAGCTAAGTCCCTAAGAGCAGATATTGTTCTGTGTCTGAATTTGCTCTTAAGAAGCCGCCTTGCATTTCTAAGGGGAACTGGCTGAGAAGGTGGGTGCAATGCTGAAGCCTCTCTAGCTAACATGTCAGCCCGTTCATTTCTGTATATGCCACAATGGCCAGGGATCCACTGGAGGACTACCTCTCTTCCAGAACAAAGAAGAGAGTCGATGAGTTGTTTACACTTAAATTCAAGTTCAGAGGGGTATGAGTTATATTCAGAAATGGTCTGAATAGCAGCCTGGCAAGAGATTGGCGAAGGCTATAACAGATTTAGCGTTTCCCAGGATGCACCACAAGGAGGTCTGCCATACTACACCCCAAAATATATATATATATATATATATTGAGATGGAGNGATTCCTTGTTCTTACAAAATGCTTTTTAATTATCAATTAGTTTCTGTCTAGTATTTCAATTATTTTTTATATTTTATTCTTTAAAACATTAATGGTACTTATTCTATAGCGTCTGTTTTTCTTTCTTCAAATTAAAAACTTCTTCAAAAGAATTTTAATATTTAAAATTGAAAATATTACGATTCACAAACAATATTTTATATGAAAGAGTAGACAAATATTGAACACCCCCCCCCCCCNNNGAACCCCCCCCCCCCCCAATATCTAATTAGAGAAACATTCCTACATTATTTGCATTTTCGTGGGGAAATAATAAATTTGACTTAAATTTAAAAATGTAAAAATACTTAGATCACTAAGAAATAATAATGAAAAAATGACCACATCCAGATCAATATTCAAGCATAATTTATTCATTTGTAATCACTTTGATATTTATATACATAGACAAGATGAAAATTTTTTATTCAAAATAATAATCTGAAAAGTTAAATATGTAGATTATTCTTTTCATACATATTACAGCATTCATAAGAAAAATACAAAATATTTACACAAAAATATGATAGATAAGTATGTTTTTGTTATTTACAGTTATAAAATTTGGGATTATCTGAAAATAATTTTCTATATTTTAATAAAGTAAAAAATTTCTTGATACGTATTAAAATATACAATTTAACTAAATTACTTTTTCAAAAACAAAATTTACTAATTAATAAAAAGATTAAAAATTTATTCAGTTGGGAAAAAAATTTAAGTTCTTGGTTAAGTTGTAAGAGCTTGGTTTCCTAGACTGGACAAATGTTTACTCTGTTGGGAAGATTTTATTCACTGATTACGATAGATAAAGTAAAATGCATAACTTGAACAAAAATTTATTAAACTAGAAATCTGTAAATAAGAAAAAAACAGATGTTTTTTGATCTGAGGGTATAGACCGTAACAACATAAAAGAAACACAGTCGTAAGGCATTTTCAGCTAAGCAGTATCAGATTCTAACTATATTCCTGAAACTAAGGACTTCAGATAAGAATTTTATGATTCAGATTTAAAAATGTATTAATGATCAGATGAAAGATGTTTAGGAATGACAACACTGCCATTCCCATATTTATATTCTGATAGAGGATAATAATCTAAAAGATTTTCTAGCGCTATTGTTTTAATTACATTAAATTTTTTTAGTTGATAACCTCTTATGTGAAAAACAAAACAAGATTTATAGAGATTACACACAAATAAAACTTTGGAACCTTTGCACAAAATAATAATAATTTTTCCAAACACAGATTCTTCATTTTCAAAACTTAAAACACACACATTCCTTGTTCATAAGCTATTCCTGATACTAGTACTTTTGAAGTTTGGAAAAACTGTTCAAAGCCTTCTAAAAATGCTGGTGATTTTGGCAGAATAAATATTTTTATCAATAGGTTTTGCATTGGTTATATCATTTTTTTTCTTAACTTCTAACTTTTTTTAATCATTTTTTTTCTTTCTAAACTTAAGTCGAAAGCAGGAAGTAATATTAAATCGCTTGCGCATCGGTCACTCTCGAATAACTCATAAACATCTTTTATTAAACGAACCTGCACCCGAATGTTCTCATTGTAGGGAACCGCTCACTATTAAACATATTTTAATCAAGTGTAACAAATTTAAAACACAGAGACAACGCCATTTTGGTAGCTGTAATCCAATATTGACTTTTTTAATTGGGGATAAACCACACAAAGACATTTTTAACTATTTAAGGGACATTGATTTTTACAAATCAATTTAGCTTTAACTTATAAAATAATGTTTCTTTTAAAACAAGTTGTAGGTGCGGTATGGCCAAAAGTGGCTTTTGCGCCAATAATTCTAAACAAACAAACAAAC